ACACATTCCATGACATCGTCGAATATGTGCTGCAATGGTCAAAGGATAAAGATCAGGAGTTCAAAGTGGTAAGCATTCGTTTTCATGCACTCTAGATGTAATATTCGATACAGATGCAAAAACAATAAAATCTGTTTTTCCATTTGTTTTTTTCTACTTCGCAATAGCTCTATCGAGGACCAGAAACTCGGTATAATGTAGACAATTTGGAGGCCGGTATCGATTACACATTCCGCGTGTGCCCGGTTCGTTTGGCTGACTGTAGCGATTTATTTGGTGCCAATTCGCCAACATTGCGATATCGAATCCCATCCAATTCAGATGCAAACTCGACAAATTCATCGACAAACAATCGAAGCAACAGTGTCGACGTGGTCGACGCACCAACTGCAACGCGCACAGTCGGTTTGTTCAAACGGAATTTACATAGGATTACATCAATTTGCTCGAACCGTAGTCGACCATCCAACCAAGAGCAGGCTATTCTACTTGTGATATTTTTCATGATCACAACAGTCGTAGTTGCTGCAATACTTCAGACTTGGACGCGATCAAACAAAGAGTGACGGTATAAATCATTTCTGCAATATCAATGAGTTCAAATAAACACACAAAAACAAACACATCCAAACAGAACCAATCACACGCCCACATATACAAACATTATCCATTTCCACATCAAGAACATACAAAAACACGTAAGATAAAACAAAACAAAAGATCTAAAACGATCTGATTTTGTGTTGCCGTAAAAATACAATTGTAAGAAGAAATCGAATTGGAATCATATTGGGGCAGCTCCTTCAACGCGTGCAGTATCGCTGAACACAAAATCAAAGTATCGCCAAAATGAATGGGAATTCATCAGTTCCTGGAGAAACTGTCGGGGCAATAAAAAGCGTTCATCCGATTGAAAGATTCGCTAACAGGCATCCCTCCCGAACACAAGAAAGGAAGCGAGCAACAAAAACACAAATCATAATTTACACTTATGCGTATTCAAAATGAAAACCAATTATGGAAATTATCAATGGTGAAAAATTGAGCAAAAAAAAAATTATACATAAAATGATATATTTCTATAGATTCCTAAGAGATAAAACTATTCAGCTTCATTTTTTTTAAATGTAAATACAATTATATGCAATTGTTTGATTTTCAATATGATTACAAGCACAGGCACATTTTTTAAATTAATTTTTTTTAGAAAAACAAAGTGCATGCATTTGATAATGTCCTTTATGCTTATGAAGCATGCATCAACGTATCGAGAATAGGTATGCACTGCATTTGTTCTATTGATTGGCAAATGAGTGCAATAGAAGGTGAAAAACAACATACATATTGTTTGTTATTCATTATTATAAAGTAAAAATGAATAGTATATTTTTGTTATTGTTTCTTTGTAATTTACACGAGAACATCATAGAAGAGAAGAAGAAGAAGAAGAGGAAAAATCAAACAAATGATGAGCATCAGTAACGTGCAGTGAGGTTTAATTAAATTTTGTTAATTTATCTAAAGAAACATGTGTAAGTGCAAGAAAACAAGAAAGAAAACCCAGAAAAAAACGAAAAAAGCCAATTTATAAAAACTGAAAAAAGGTAACAAACATAAAATGGGCCGACATCACTTCAGGGTAACCAAATCATTTCACTGAAGCGATTTCGCTCATCCAACATTTGTTCACTTCTGTTTACTCCATTCCTAAATGAAATTTATGCATATATTGTGGTTAACTATTCTTATTATTATTGTTATTTTTTATAATGTATGTTTATGCGAAAAGAATGAGAAAATACAACAAAAGAAAAATGCATGATTTATTAAAATGAAATAAGCAAGGAGCAAAGAAATTTTATTTTGAGTTCGCTGCCGAAGGCTTCACAAAAAAACGAAAACAAAAACTTAGTGCGAAAAATATATATGGTTCAGCAGCATGAAAATATTAACAAAAACACACACACACACATTTTTTTACTGCTTCATTATAAAGTACGGTGTCATTGGTCCAAGAAAAAATCCGTGGTTCATGTTATGTGTACGTTTCATATTTATTGAACAAAATCTGCAAATGAAATGAATGTAAATAAAACTGTCCATTTTAACGAAGCTCTAGTCGGTATGTCCAACGAAAGAAAAAGAAAATTAAAGCATTGAATGTCGTTGAATGGACGAGATTTACTCGTTGTGAGTGTACACTGAAAATGAAAAGAAATGAATAAATGACATTCCTTTTGAGTACATTACCATATAATGCATCTGCCCCTTTTTTGATTTTTCCCCTCCTACTCACACATACCATACGTGTGTACGTTTTGCCTACACCTGCATTTATTGAAATTTGTACTCTATTTTGGTTGAAAAATTTGCTCTAGTCAGGTGATCAGTTTACTGAATTATTATCAATATAACCCAAAAAAGAATTATGGCACAACCACACACACACACACACAAGATGCGAAAGAATGTAGGATGGAACGGAGAACAGCAACCAAAACTCAGTATAAATTTGTGTAAATCAAGCAAATATTAGGAAATTTTATTCATGAAAACAAAAATCAAAATCCATCATGACATTACATTACATTATATCACAGAGAAGAAACAACTACTTACTCTATTGGTGCTATTTGTTTTTTTTATTCATTTTATACGTTGGCAATTTTTGAAATGATGCAATGATATTTCTTTTGTATATTTTTGAACAATTTCTCTATTTATTTTTTTTTGTATGAAGCAGATTTAAAATCGGCAATGCCCTAGGATATATAGAACAATGAAGAGAAATCAATACACGATTTTTTATCCAATAGAATCCATCGCATTTCTTATGACATTAACTACTACTTACCAATAAAAAAAATATCCTTTAAACGTAATTTTCTGCGATCATCATTTTCTATCAACAAAAATGGCTTGAACATTTGCACAACCAGCGCCACAATTGCAACTTAAATAGTTAACAATTTATTTGGAGAAAGAAAACAATTTTCACACCAAACATTTCTTGTCCCTCACTTTTTCCCTGTCTCTCGCTCTTTGAATGTTTCATCATGAAACTTTCATGAAGAATACAAAACCATACTAACTTATTTTATAATAAAACGTAAATCTTTGAATCAGTATTCAAAACTAAACGGGATGTACAATTTTATTAGATGAACCAGAAACAATAATTCCAATCACAGAAACGAAACAACATTCATTCTTGCATAGTAAAATTAAACAAAAACGAACAAACAACTGAAACAAAAAGTAATAAGATATCTAAAGGAATAGCACAAATTTTCAAGCAGTTTATCGTAATATTTAAAGAAATAGACCACAATTTTCGAGCCGCTCAAATCATGACACGACAACATCAAAGATGTCTCCTCTTTGGAGACAATGGACAAACAACAAACATATGGATCTATAGTAGCTAGGAAAGTGTTCAAAAACATGAAATCTAACAATTTAGCAATGATGATGAGAACAAAAGAGAAAATCCAATGTCATTTTTTTTTCTTCAAATATCGCTGTTTATGTTGGAATCGCACGAAATTTATACATTTTATTGCAAGTTCGTTTATAATTATATTTAAAGCATGTTCCACATCATTGAAACAATTATTTTTAGCCGTTTCTATTCTATTTAAATAATAATAATCAAAAGAAGATAATGAAGAAGAAAAATCAAGCAAAAGCACTATTTATGAGCTAAACAGAACATATATATATTTTTTAATTTCTAACTCAATTGAGGCGTTTATAAAATACGTAAAATACGTTGTAAACTGATTTCTTTATTGATGGTAATTTTATATTCCAATCCATTTCTGAAATCAAAATTATTGAGCTAATGACAAAGATGTAACACATTTCAATGACAAAAAAATTATGATAATTTCTATTTTTTGTTTTGTAAATAAAATGAAACCAGGAATAAAAAAAAATGACGAACATTTTTCTCTCTAACTTCACAACATACATAAACAGTGACCGTGATTTTTAAATGTACTCAGTCAAACGCAATTTGTCGCAATAAGTAAAAAAACAAAACATGAGTGGGCTGACGTCAAGTTTGCACCGGTTTTTTTTGTTGGATTAGACTTGGTGGATTTGAAATCATTCAATTCCGTGGATACAAAACACTGGGAAATGGAAATTTCGACTCGAGAGTGTAGGTTTGATCATTCCATGGTAAACATTTTCCCGAAATGTTAACTGCTTTTGCGGAACAAATCGACCAACATCTTATTTGTGGTTTATTGGAGAAATTTCGTAGTGAGGAAATATTGTTGTGTTTTGAGAAGCCTTCCTTAAATGAAAATTCCGATATGTCTGTTTGATTCCAAAATTAAGAATACTAAGGTGAACAAAAAAACAAAAAAATCAAATGCAGAACAGTCAACAAGTGTTTTTGCCAATTATAAATGTTTCTTTCAATTTTTCGACTTTTAAGTGTTATGCTACGCGAATATGACAAAAAAAAAATAAACACAAAAAAACCAACAATATTGGAGAAAATGCAAACAAAATTTAGAAATAATGATTTATGAACTATCATTCAAGCAAATTCTATTAAAAATGTATATATTTAACACTATGATGATAAACAAAGAATGATGATGATTATTATGAAGATGATGATGACGATGAAGAGGAAGAAGAAGAAGAAGAACGAATGAGGGAATATTGTATTTGTAATTAAAATCTAATGTTGTATAAGAATAAGAATTGCATACACAAAAAAGAAAATATATTCTATATTTTATGTAAAAAGAAAAAGAAAATTGAAATGCGTTTTCTTTTTTATTAAAATTTTCAGTTATGTATGTGTACATGTACAGTGTATTGAGACAACGTCCAAAGGTATGTTTGAAAGAATGATAAATTTTCAAATCAGGAAAAGACATTGAATTCGGCCATCAAAAGAATGACAAAAACTTATTTGTTTTTGCCACACTTGACCGTTTTGCACTGAGCGCTGTCAAAAATGCGCTATGACACAGATTGAACGCACGCATGCACATTTCATAATACCGGTGCTCGTTATGATTGTTCGCACTGAGTGTTGTATCATTTGTGTTTGCATTGCTACAACATTCGCACCATAGTTCCGTCAACAGAGTTTACCGCTAACCAAACGAAAAAGCAACAACAGCAGCAACTAAAAATGGTGAGTATTTAATCTCTTTGGAACCAATTTGGTTGAACATCAGCATTTGCAGAATTGTTTATCAATATCAATTATTACATTTCCATGTGATTTCTCAATTCTATCTTTCGGTTGAACAGACAAATCCAGTTTTCGGCCTGTGTCCATGCTGCGAAAATCCGAACAACTCGGTATTTATGCAGTCAATCCATTCGGACAGCCTGTTCAAAATGCTGTTGAAACGCGGTCAATTCAAGCGAAACTATTTATTTTGCAACAAATGTATTGATTGGGCAAAAGACGAGGTCCGGAAGCGACTACCACAAAATTCGCAGTATTCACCGATTAGGTAAACAATCAGAAAAACAAATCGAATGTAGAACAGTCAACAAGTGTTTTCGCCAAATGTAAATGGTTCTTTCAATTTTGTGATTTTCCAGTGAAAAATGTGCCAGTCGCAATACACCGGATCCATTCATGAACGATCTTATGATGGGAGCCGACAGCAATGTTGGACAGCGTTTGGCCAATCCAACTGATTCACCTTTACACTTAGGTAATCGTAAGTTATCAGTTCGTGCAAGTCAATCGTTGATTCATGACATTTCGTTTGCACTTTCTCAGCAATGTCACCTGTAAACTATATGCCATATCATGATGAACGTTTGACTGAACCGATGCTGTTATCGCTCAATAGAACAGCACATTTGATCGCTCCATTGCCAAGCCCACTCAATGATGTGGCCAATCCATGGGAAATGAATGATGATCACAAATCCGATGACAACACAGACCACATCAATTTGTGATATGCAGCACACATGGACCCATAAAATCATCCAACCAGTCATCAACTTCAACGTTACTTATTTCACTAACACAAAACGCCATATTTACTGAATAAGAAATAACTCGTAATCAAATTTAATAAACATAGCAAAGGGAAAGAGAGAGAGAGAGAGAGAGAGAGAGAGAAATTCCAATTGGATATTTTTGTTTCACCATATCGTAATGTTCGTATCGACGTACCGTTCATTTTAATTAAAATTTTGTGTTTATCAATAGTTTGACAGTTTGGCGCCATTAGAATGACAGATCAACAGAAACCACATAGAGTGAAGATAAATAACGTTTAAGATAAATAAATACACACGATTTTCGGTCATTTGTACAATTCATTTTTACTTTTGGGTTATCACAACGTATATAGAATAAAACAAACAATAAAAAGGTAGTACTTTGTCACATGCGAATTGAAATCGTTGAGTTAAGTTGCATTTGCTTCACAGAGCCTATTTGTTTTCGAGGTTTTGATACAAAATACTTGTAATTTCTCCGATTTGACCGCTGCTAAGTAAGTCATTAACTAAGAATTCATTAGGATCTAAACGTGACTATCGTACCACCAATGGCTTTTGCGCTACAGATATGAGCTATGGCCTTTTCGGCATCGTCCGGCGTGTACACCTGATCGACTACTGTCTGCAAAACGCCGTCATTCACGTACCCAGCCAATCGATCGAGGGCCCGATGGCATATGTGTGGACCGCCCCAATCAGATTCCGTCTTGAATACGTACGCTATACACTTTTCCAGTCTTACATAAATCTGAAGAAAGAATGAAAAAAAAAGCAAGGAAACTTTGAACACGTTGGCTTGTCAAAAGGAATGTACAAATGACATCGAACAATGTATGAATGTGACGTACGGAGCATAAAAATCGCATGAAAATTCCATATTCGTCGGATAATAATCGCTTTTCTACTGTGTCAATGATAGTGCCGCCCTTGCATAGAAATTTGCTAATGAAATCTCGATTATATGCTTGCGATGTGGTTAAAAATACAACGTCGTAGTGTTCTCTGATTGTCAATTCCTTTAGCAAAAGGTCTCGCTCTTCTAATTCATAGATTTTGTCATCACTATTGAACGCTATTACGTCGTCAGCACCTGAAATGTAATTGATTCGAATTACTTCACATGTTTTTTTAATTATTGTTGCCAGAATTTGAATGAAGTCATTATGATACACCAATGTACCTCTGTCCTCTATTCATGAATGCATTGAGTGAAAATGGTTATCAACAAATCGTTAGTTTTCAAAAATTGAGTCAATAGAATGGAATTCAATTGGTATACCTAATGCTTGAATAACAGGAACAGATCGTATATTACAAGTGGCTGTAACAAATGCACCCCATTTTTTTAGTAACTGCGTTAAAACGCATCCCACTGGAGAGCAACCAGAAAAAACTAAAACACTGTGCATGGAAGACATCATTAATAACCAGTTAGAAATAGATGGTTTTTGAGCTGATTTACCGCTTTCCCTCGGAAGTGGTTTCTGCTAAGGAAGCAGCTTGGAGTGCGGATAATGCGATGCAGCCACTGTATGGCAAACTGGCGGCTCCTTCAAACCCGATGATGAACGGCTTACGTGATACGCGTGATTCCGGTGCAACAACCAATTGAGATGCGACACCTGCTTCATACCACGGGGAAGCTATCCAAACCTCATCACCAATTTCAAGTCCACTTTTTGAGCTACGACCAACACCTTCCACAATCCCCGCACATCCTCGACCTATGACCAATGGCAACTCTTGATGGTCATACGTATTATAATTTTGGATCATCCGACGCAAATGACGCCCATATCCGCCCGCAATTTCATAGTCGATGCGATGGATTGACGCAGCTCGTACTCGTATGAGTATATCCGTTGCTGAACACAGGCTGGGCACTTTCACCATCGTTGGAATGACATTCTGTTGAATTGAGAATCGTTTAATATGTTCAGCCATTAAAATTTGTTAGACAGATGTAGACTTACATCAGGATCTTTGAGCGCTAAGCAAGCCACAGCTTTCATCACTGGGCTTGGATAATAGGGACGTGCAGCCCAACATCCAATCATATAGCCACAAGTTGTACCGATACCCAGTCCAATGAAAACATAAAAAAGATTGTTCCTGGCAACTGAAACCGGGGAAAAAATTACATCAGCATATTGTTTCAAACACGAATATGTTAACCACACTACTTACTTTCATCTCGAAAAATTATCTGTAACTGTTCACCTAAGAATTGAGGACTGGTAAAGTTCGATGCGGATTCTTTAAAATTATTCAATTTTTGTAGTAGTTCTAACCAGACATTTTTAATATTTTCTTTAACAGCTACAAGCTGACCGTCGTTGAAAACCTAAATTAAAATGAACACATTTTATGATAAAGTGACCACAATGAAAATTCGAAGTGAGTTAACTTACTCGATTCGCTATAGCACGTCCTTCATCACCGAATTGCCTGATGGCATGTATCGCTTGTTCCTTTGCCATCGTTGACCTTAACTAACGAACAATTTCTCTTTTGAAATCTATGATTCTAAATGGTATACAAATAATGCCAAACTGTTCACGTGAATACGGGATAGGTGCTCGAATTGATATGTACACAGATACTGATTTAGATGCAAATGTTTGTGATTTTTGTTCCAAAATTTATTGGTTTAAAGTGGTGCCTACAATGAATGATATGCATTGAAAATATCTCCGAAATAGCGAATGTGCCAAGTGATAAGGATTTGATTGGTCACACAATGACTCACCTGCATCGAATAACAAAACTCTTCCAATTGCCATAAACTCTCCCCCATCGCTAAAATGCTTAATGACGTCAACAAGATTCAATCAGCAGCAACCTTCTCTCGGCAAGACTAGAATTTCATTCTAATGAATATCTGAAACGAAAAATATTCACATTCAATTATTATTGGATTGAACTGTGGCTCTAAGTGGCAGCAAAAAGCTGCTTGACAAGACATTTTTTTCCACTATGGGTCAAAAATCGATATTGATATCAATAAATCAAGCGTTTATTGCACCTACTATCTCCTATTTTGAACTGTTTTCATTCGATTGGCATCAAATTCACTTTCGTTTTTAAAGGACCTTTTCCTAATAAAGGGAATAATATCTAACACTTTTGCATAATCAAAATTGTTGGCACAAACACACCTACAAACCACGATCACTGCTGATTGTACATATCTACGCGCAGTACATATCTACAGTGGGTATGTGTATATATTTTTTGCCCTCAATCTCATGTGAGTTTTGACACATTCGCTGTCATAACACTAGACTGACATTCCGAAACATCGACATTTTTTGTTGAATTCGAAAAGCCAACTTTTTTTAGAACTAAAAAAATTTCGTTGAAAGAATTCATACCATTTTAGAATTATTAAAAGGAGTTTTGCAACAAAATTTAAATTATTTTCTAGAAAATACTAAATTTTTAGGAGTTTCTCATATTTATTTATTTTTTATTTCTATTTTCATAGGAATTTCATATGGAAAATGTCACAATGCTTGACATTGAAAATAAATCAAACTATGAATTTAAAATACCGAAAAAAAATTTACTCCAGTGTTGTAGATTCCAAAAAGATATCTTGAAATGAAAATAAATTCGACCAAATGTCGAGTCCAAAGTATACTACAACCAATTTCCCCTTCACAGTCGCTGAGTTGCAACATGTACGCAGCCAGTTTATTGGATTATACCACTTAGTTGTATATTTGGCCACCAGTCGTAAGCGCACACTCAAACATCTATACAATTTGAATCAACTATATTAGTAATGTCAAACGGCAACCGTCTTCTCATCCAACTGCTCTTCGGCACCAGTCATCATTGAAAATTTGTGTTAATTTACCGTTTGTGTCATCACATTTCCAACAAAAGTTAGAATCAAATTCGGACAAAGTTTTCGTTATTGATTCTTCAGTATTTTATTGATAATTGATTTACATTTTTGTTAAGCTATTAGTAGAATTTTGAAGGGTAAAAATGCAACGCTTCATGAATATTTACGGAGGTACAAACAACAACGGAGTCGAGGGAAACGTCTCAGTAATGTCGAGTGATATGAACTGGAATGAATTAAGCATTGGAATTAATGACACAATTGCTGAAAATAATTTTTTTGGTACACATAACATCCAACTAATTAATTTAACGTTCAAACAGTGGTTTTTTTGCTAGAATAATTTGTCAATTTGGAAGAAATTCCCTGTGACAATGTCATTTTCTAACCTCAATTTTGAATTATTCTTCTTTTTGCGCAGGACGGAAGCATCCAGAACATGAACCAAAGGGTAAAATTCAAAAAGATGATATGTTTCTCGACATCGGAAAGAATGGCACCGACGAAAATAAACAAAATGCTAATGCGGAGTTAGAACGAAACTCCCTTGAGTCAGAGAATAATTTATCATTGAGTTTCGACGAAGGACTTCGCATCGGTCAACGACACAGCCAAAATGGAAGAAAACCACTAGCCCAACACAATCAAGTGCCCAATGTTTATGCGCAAGGTCAATTATACAAACAAAGAAAGGAATTTCGGATGAAATTACTCGAGAAAAAGGAGCGCGATCAACGCAAATTCCACGCAAAACCAGCGCCAAATTTCAATGCGATTCATGTAGCCCAAAGTAAAAAACGTACTCAAGAGGAGCCGAAAATAACAATCCCAAAAACACCACAAGTAGTACGCTCTCATCGCCATTATGCAGATTTAGCTAAAGCAAAAGTGAGTACTTGAATCTAAAGTTGAAAAATCACAGCATTCCCACGACTATAATGTTTTATTTTGTTTTTGTTTACAGCAAGATGAGTTGATAGCATCCCTAAAGCCGAAACCATTTGTGTCGAAAGAAGCCGAAGTTCTAAAATTGCCGCCATATATTCCACGCCCAAACAAGAAAACGCCAACTGAACCAGCTCCATTTAAATTGCACAGTGATGAACGACTACGTGATCGGCGCGAATATGATAAAAAATTTGAAGAAAAAACGGAACGCAAGCAGAGGGAACAAGAGGAACGACACAAAATTGAAGAAGGAATAATTCGTCGTCAGCTTCGTCAACAAACCACATTCAAAGCCAATCCAAATCCCTTCTCAGGAGGAAAATAATACCGACCGGATTGAAAAAAATGCCATGAAACCATCCCTCAACATAAATAACATCAGCTCTTCAAATGTAAAATGATCTTATTTAATCATAGTTTTAACGATATTAACTATTAAGCCATTACAGCCTACTAATTAATCAACTGACAGTATACAATAAAGCTAATCAATTAGTACGTGAAGTTTTTAGAATTAGTTGGGTAAATCGGAACATTGTAAAAATACGCATATGAATAGTAATGAATGACATTTAATAAGAAATTTTAATAAAATGTGATTTTCGCTAAACAAAGACGTCGACGTTAGATCATCATTCATTCACCACATTCATATACTGTTAACTATGCTTGTTATTTCTCCACTGGATTGTTAGATAACACTGCCATTTGTTTGTTTAACAAAACATGATTCGATTGGCCATTGCAAAAATTATTGGTGGTCGCATGAAAAAAAAATTGGCATCAAATGTTGAAGTGTATTTGATTTGGGTGTTCGTCGATGTTGTCGTTGATGTTGTCGTTGAACACAGTCCCTATTGCCCGGAGTTATACACTTTGTTCTTGTTAATATAATCACAGCGGTGTGACTACTTCAAACTATTGAAACATCTGCGACAATCTGGTGAATTAGTCTTGAATCACTTTTATTCGATCATAAAAAAAAACACAAAAATAGTTAAATGTTAACATTGAAAAGTGTAAATAAACATTATTTGATTAGAAAGTAGTTAGTCGTTCTCTTCAGCTTCATTCTTCACGCGCTGTTGACGGTTGCTTCATGTTCGTTGGTCGTTTTCTCCGGATTATACTTCTTAGTCACTGTAACAGAATAATTGCAATTATTATGCATGCATAATCGATTTAAGCTTCAGAATGTAAAGTGCATCATTTGAATTACATGTGATAAGTGTGTCCGGATCGTCTGCAGATGGTTTACGTTTTTTGTGCGTCATGAGTCGCATGTACGCAAGTCGATACTCGTCTTCGTCCATCGCATGATACTTAACCGCTCCGGTTGAATTCACATGGTACGAGTAGACGGGAATGACCGTTGACGACACAGCCACCAGATCTATTGTATTAAATTATACAAAATATATATTATATTGAAATATCAAGCGGTTGCAATGCATACGCGAATCAACGTTCAAGCGATAGACAAACTAGAAGATAGAAAACCAGTTAGCATTAGAACTTGCTGAAAAGCAACGGTTTAATAAAGAGAGAGGTATAAAAAAAACAACTCGTATATATATCAATCGATCGCCGTTTTTAGTAAAACGAAAACACATACATGGCTAGAAATCGTCTCAAAATGAATCGTTATGTAAATATTTTCGATTGGTCGACGGTGAACCATGACTTTCTATCCAAAATTGCATTCACAAAAACACTCAAAAACAATACAGCGTATCAATGTATAGGTGTGTATGAAATAAAGTTATTGTTGTTGGCTTATTGGCTCCAAAAATCTCTCACCAGGTTCATAGGTGTCGTCGTCTGTCTTTTTGTAGTACATTGGATTACATATCACACTCCCAATCACCAGTCCCAAGAACAAAGCCACCATCCATTCGATCTTTCGGTTATACGTTAACATCGTTGAAGCGGAAATTTCAAGGAAACTTTCAGATTTCGCTAAAAAATGAATGCAAACACTTGTTTTCAATGGATTTATTATATTCACTTTCAAGTCAGATATATTTGTATCACGTCAACACATGAATAAATGACGTCCACAATTACAATAGGGATCCGAATTTACCGTCTTTGATAATAATTTGTTTAGATTTCCACAAAAATCAATCTTCGTTTTTCTACGAATTTCGTGCGTAAACTAGCTATGTTGCTGTAACAAAAACGACTTAGAGATGTGCTTTTTATGCGGAGCCAACGAGCACAGTGATTAAATCTACTATATTGGGAATGTGTTTAAAGAAAAAAGAAACGTCTTCTCACGCGCGATGCGCAAATACGCGGATGTTGAGTGCGAGTGTGTTGGCGCATCGCTAAAGCGGCGGTTATTGTTTGCAGAAATCACTCATTGCCAATATGGTCATCGCTAAAGAAACAAGTGAGCAGATTCATTCGGAACGTGGCAGAGCGGTGGTGGGCGTACAAGTGAAGAGTAGGAGAAATTTGACAGCTCAAAGATGTTACCTTTTACCTGCTCAGTTGTTGTTGTTGTTGTTGTTTTTTCTTTTTCCCTCTTATTTCAATTACTATTGTCTTTTACAGCATCTCAGGGCCTTTATTGCCATGTTGAGTCTGTTTTCTCTTTACAAATTTCATTTATTACCTTCGTGCTGCATAATTTACTGTTGTCTGTTTTGGTCTCTCACGGCATGCAAACATCATTTTCAACTAACTATTCTCATTTAGACGTATAGTAAAAGACTCAATTGTTATGCATAAGATATAATAATAAGATTATCAGAAGCAATTTGAAAATTAGACTGTAAAAATGAATTGGCTTTGAAATGAAAACACAGACTTTTTTTTTCTGAAAAATAAATTTTTTATTTATTAAAAATTGTTTTATTGTAAGAAATTGTTGTTTTTTTTCTCAAATATGATTCATATTTTTTTCTTTCATCAAAATCGTTATAAAAGTTAAAATATATAATATATTCCTTATGGCTAAATACTTACAACTTGTTCTTTTGCTAGAATAATGAAAAAAGAGAATAATTTATGGGTTTTGTAAATAGCTGTTGGGAAGAAAAGAAAATAGATATTTTTTTCAAAAAATTTGAAAATTCCAACAAAAAAAAATGTTGACGACACAATTTGTGTCTAATTTCACAAGTGAAAGGTTCTTAAGCTTAGGCTTTCTCTTAGAATTCATTCATTCTAAATGTATTTTTTCAATATTTTGATTATCGATGCTGCTTCATCTATCACAAATATTAAATATTACCGAAATTAAAAAAAAAGATGTAAATCTTGATCTCTCAGTTGAAATAATGTTAATAAGCAGGGCCGAAGAAAATATTTACGCTAAACAGGCGAAATATTTATTTAAATATCTCAGAAAAAGGCCTGAAATATTTAGGCTAAATCTCAAAAAACGGAAAAATATTTATGATAAATATAAAATATTTAAGATGAAAATCAATACTTTTTTCAAGAATTTATTGGAATAAATTATTTATTGATATATCTTTTTCACTATTGCAACTGGTTACAAGCTACGACAACAATTTTTTTCAAATTTTTGTACAATGATCGACGATTGTCGCTCAATACAGCCCTATGGCGCGAAAATGTTCGTTCGACATCACAAGATATTATTGGCGCAAATTTAAATGCACTCAATTCGTTCGGTGTTAATGATTCAACAAATTCATCATTTTTGTTGCTCTTTCCTGTGCTCAAAATTACTGAGATTTCTTTCATTTTCTGAAAACCCTTGTTGCGAGCTTTGTCAAGAAATCCCGATTTCCCACGAATTTGTTGTAAATTGTTGCGAACAAATTCAAATGTTTCAAGAGCTTCAATAATTTGTGATGTTTGTGACAATGCAAGAAAAGTTGTTCTTGATAAAAGTCAATTCTCGTTTCAAATTTTTCGGCTTTGCGATAGCGGTTTGAGCCTTTCCTATCGATTTTGCATCGCCTGCATCCTGAATTTTGCGAGTTCAAACGAAACATCAAAACTTATACAACAAAAATACTCAATACATATTACAAGTGGGAAATCAATTCGATCTGTAATTCACGTACTTCCTATCTCATTCATTTCAAATTAAATTCGGCATAAACAATAACAATAGCGCTGACTTGTTTTGACTGCAACTTTTATATTTGAGTATATTCGTGTCATATCGACTTTGTGGTATGAAAAGAATATGATTTAAAATCACTTGACCAATGAATTTTTGTTCAAAATATTGATTTTGAGAGGCAAAAACGGCCAAATATTTACTTAAATATTTTATTTAAATAAATATTTTTTTCTCAAAAAACGCCAAAATATTTAATCAAATATTTTTTATTTAAATAAATATTTTCTTCGGCCCTGTTAATAAGTGTGAATTTTTTTAAAATTAAATACATTTCACGTATCAGCTATGCAAAAACACATATTTAAGCATATTTTGACAGCCGCTCATTATCATACATATCTTCTGAATATCTAACAAATTAACAATCAAAATAGCAAATTATAAATTTAAGTAATCAAAATGTTACATCGCTAGCGGAATGAATGCGAAGATGTTCCAGGAGTGAAATTATTTATATTCGATCTTATCAAGGAAATTAGAATTAAACCTAAAATCTAATAAAATGTCTAATTATACTTTGCACTTTTATGTAGCCATTAAATATTTTTCTCATCCCATGTTATCATCATTACTTGTTATTTGCGTTTTTATTACGCTCTCGGTTGAAAGCGTGACATGTAGAATTCGCAATCGGAACAGTAAATGGCCGGTGCAATGACATGTTTTTTGCGGCAGAGATTGCATTGAACGGCTTTTGCTGATGCTTTTACGATTGCGCTATTGTTGAATACGCGTGTTGGAATCGCTTTGACAGTCATTTGATTTGGGTCTGTGGTGGTTGGCATGCCGTTTGTTTGCATGTCACCATTCATTGATGTGACAATTGGTTTGGCCGTTTCGATGGTTTCACCTTTAGTTCCTGGTTCAAAACTTACTTTTTTAACGGTTTGTGCTTTTTGGGCCGTAGCATTCACCATGGTCGTTTGAGGCACACTGAAGTACGGTGATTGTTTTTGCGGTGGCATTGCATAGCCATTTGTCATTGGAACGCGTTGATATGGTGGCATTCCGTTTTGCTGTGGTGGCGACATTTGGAACATGACGGGTGATTGCTGGGTACCCATATAGTTTCCATTTGTCATTGGTGGCTGTTGATGTTGTTGTTGTTGCTGTTGCTGTTGCTGTTGCTGTTGCTGTTGCTGTTGCTGTTG